CTTAAGCCATGAATTGGTGAGTTGAGGGGCAACTTGGTGAGTCGAGTAGGATGGGACTCATAGTTTGTGGGACTCGGCAAGTCTTGGGTGACTCGGCGATTTGGGTCGCGATATGGGAGTTTTCAGAGCCTAGGGACTCGACGAGTTGGCGGGCTAACTCGGCGAATAGAGTTAGTCAGGAAGTTTGACTTTAACTGAGGACTTTGACTTTGACCAAGAGTTGACCAGTTGACTTCCAAGGGTATTTTGGTAATTATTGGTATTTATTGAGTTCAGTCTTTTGGTATTGATCAGTGTGGGGGTCATGTTAGCGTTTGGAGCAGCGTGATTCTATTTCTTCAGTCGACAGTGCATGTGAGTTATCCTCACTTTATCAACAGGGTCTAAGGCACCAAGGTCGGCCATTTATCAGATTGTAATCCGGGTAGTACTCGTGATTGTTATTGCTTTGCTATGTTGATATCCTGGTAATTAGGATGGTATATGTTATAGACCTGGCTAATTTCGGTATCCTGGTATGTAGGATGGTATATGTTAGTGACCGGTTAGGTCGGTATCATGGTTAGGATGTTGCTATGCTATGTGATCTGTTAGATCAGTTGATTAGTTGTGAATGGTTATATGTTATATGTTATATGTTTATGTGCACATGGTTGTTGGACTGGGTTGGGTTGAGGTGGGTCCTGCTTTGTGTTGTAGGCCAACATACCCAGGGCGGACCGGTTAGACCGAAGGCCCAACGAGCGGTTCGGATAAGTTGAAGGCCCCACGAGGGCGGACCAGGCATGCCGAGGCTCGGAGAGTGGACCAGATAGACTGAAGGCCCGATGAGGGCGTACCAGTCATATTGTAGACCAAGAGAGTGGACCAGGTGGACTGAAGGCCCAGTGCAGGCAGACCAATCACACTGCAGACTCGGATAGAGAGAGAGTGGACCGGGTGGACTGAAGGCCTGGTGCAGGCGGACCAGTCACACTGTAGACTCGATATGCATGGCTGTTCTGTTATGTATGTTATGTTATGTGTATGGTGTATGTGGTTGGTATTTTGTGGGTATCTCACTAAGCTTTCAGGCTTACAGTTGTGGTTTAATGTTTTCAGGTACTTAAGGAGACCGTGGCAAGGCGAAGGTGTGACCGTACCGCTCCTCATGTTCTTGTTTTATGATATGGTTCTGGGAATACTCTGATAATAAATGCATTGAAAACCTTTTTGTAATAACTTAAATGAAATTGGGTTATTTTTGAAAAGTTTAAATTGGCTTGAATTTTTAGAGTGTTACATCTCCTCTATAAATAGGAAAGGTTGTGAAATATTTCAAAGGGACTAAGCTATGATATCTTCCTTGCATCTAACTTTGTAGGACGTTGAGTGTATTCTTTGGTGAGATTCTCTTTGTCGACAAGTAACCAATTAAATTTCAGAATATTCAAAATAATTTTGGACCATATATTTTAGATTTGGATCGAGTTTAATAAGGATCCGAGTGTCTTCTGGCTGAGTTAGGCAAACTCGCTTCCATTGGAGGCCGAGTTTAAGTAACATGTCGAGTATTTGGCTGTGTTAGTCAAGTTTTACAACTTTGTATGTAATACAATTTAAAGTTTTAACTTTATAAAAGACGTCTTATTATCATATGTTCTACATAATTATGGTAATATTTACGATACAAAACATTTTTTTACTATGTAAGATAAAAAATTTTCTCTATTATCATATGTTGTACAAAATGATAAAATTTAAGATAGATAAAAAGATGTTTCTATTATTGTATTTTCTATATAATGATAATATTTAATATAAACGTTTTAATTTAATATGAAATTATTATTTAATAGATAACAATAACGATTTATTTATTTTTAAAAATTAATTTTTTTTTCTATTTTAATCATATAACTTTGTATATGCAAAACAACTTCAAGTTCCAACCTTATCTCTTATAATATAGTTCAACATAATACCAATATTAAAAATCAATTTTTGTATTTTTTATGAAATTATTATTTAATTGTTAATAACAATGATTTGCTTATTTTTAATATAAAATATTTTTTTATATCCCACGCAACGCGCTGGCATTCGCCTAGTGTGTGTGTATATATATATATATATATATAGAGAGAGAGAGAGAGAAAGAGAGAGAGAGAGCCATGTTCATTTGTTTAAATTAAGTATTGTGTTATTGTATCCATAAATATGGGCCAATCAAAATTTAAAATATAAATAAATAAATAAATAAGGGTAATTAGGTAATTTTATAAACAATTTCCCCAAATACTTTCCTATAATTATGGTAGTTAATTTTAACCTAATTTATCCCCTTTTATAAACAACTTCCCCAAATACATCGATGAAGGTGAGAAGGAAAGCACGAAGCGGCTGCAAGGTTAGATGTCGATCGATTGTAGGCTAATTAAGCGTCTCCGGGGTCGACGAGACTGAAGCAACGAAGTGAAGAAGCAACATAAGTCATCTTCATTGTTCAATCTAATGAACGACGTTTCTTTGACTTTCGAAAGTCAAAGTCCTTCAAACCAAATTCCGATAGAAATGGTACGTAATCAGGTACCCATGTAATGTCGGTTATCCCATCGAGATTTGATTTTACGAGCCTATTTTGACTTCAATTTTGTTTGTAAATTCCGATTACAGATGCCAAAACAAAGAACTCCCGAGTCCCGACGAATTTGATTCCAACAAAAATTCCGATCAAAGCTTCTTCTGTAAATGCGAATGGATGATGGGAATATTTTTGACTATCAGTGATGGAATTCTGAATCTGATTTGAACATTCGATCAAGATTGTTGTGATCAACTTCCGATTATGAACCTGTGAATGCAGATACTGAGTCGAGCATCCCACATCAACATGTAAATTCGAATCCTTTGAAATCAGTTTCAGAATTGTCTGTATAAGAAAGCTATGAATCGGTATTTCAAACATTTATGCGAATACTAGACCTGTTCATATCAGAATGCAACAAGAAGTTCCGGTTTTGGAGTCAAAATCACAAACCTTCGTTTCCAATTTAATTGATTCATGTTTCAATTTATGTTTTTTAACTTGATTTTTGGCTGCATTTTATGAATTGAGTCATGTTTCAACTTTTTTTTTTCCTGAATTAACACTTCATTTATGTGGACAGTGCATGATATTGACAAGGTTGAATTCTGAAAATGTATCAACTATGTTTATGTAGATGATTCAATGATGATATTGGTGAGATTCCAATTTTATTGGAATGGAATCACGAATTCTAATTATGTTGGAATTGAATTACGAATTCCAATTCTGTTGGAATCACAGAAGTTGATACTTGAAGAACGGACCATAAAAGTAAAAGTGATTCTAAGCAACATTATTCTTTTAGAATGTTTTAGTCGTTGTTAGATTTTGATGTTTTCGTTCTCGTTTTGAAAGTTTTTTTTAGTTTTATTCTTTAACAATAAATGTAATTCTTAACAATTGTTACTCGTATTCTCTAAGAAATATTGTATTTTTTTGTTTTTATTTTTCAATTGATTGTTCAAGAATTTGTTATTCTACAAGAAATTTTTAAATTCATGATCAAGAAATAGGTTCAAGAATATTTTTATTATTTATGGTTCAAGAATATTTTTATTTTTGAATATATACTCATAAAAATATTCTGTTAGAATGTCCGAATTAAAAGAATTATAATCCGTAAAATCGGATTTTTAAAATTAATAGAATCTATGATCCCTTAAAAAATGCAATTTTCCATTATTAAATCTATATTATTTGACTAAATTACCGTTCTAATTAATTAAGATGATAATTTTCAATTATATTTAATTCAATAATATATATATTAATCACTTTCTTAAAATAAGTAAAATTGATTAACCCATATTTATGCATACAATAACACAATAATTATTTTTAAATAGAATAACCTACGCCTATATATATATATATATATATATATATATATATATATATATATATATATATATATATATATATATATATATATATATATATATATATATATTAAACTAATATTATTATAAATAAAAAACAATCGTAAATACTTAATCAACGTTGCAATTGAATTCTCAAACATTAAAACTAAAACAATAATAATTATATACATATTAAATCATTAAAATTAGAACGATAATAACTATTATACATATTTAATCGTTAAAACTAAAACGTTATAAATATTTAGTCGCTCCATATAAATGGTAACCCATTCTGTTGCACATAGACATTTGCAATGAATTCATTGTGACGTACGTGTAATTGAGTTCTTTTTCTTCATGCGTAACAAATGATAGAATTATTTTTTTTTATTTGTAAAAATTATAAACGAAGAAATGTTTTACTATTTCAAATTGCAAGTTAAAAAAAAGTGATCAATTATTTTTTAAATTTTATAAAAGTTATAAATTAAGTGATATGTTATTCTTTTAAGTTGAAAATTATAAAAAAATGATATAATTATTTTTTGAAATGTGTAAAACTTATATAAAGAAAGTATATTTGTAAAGGGACCATAAATATAATGTGTTATAAAAGCATAATGAAAATATTGTTAATAATTACAAATAAGTTGAAAAAATCCAAAAATAAAAAGACAATAAATATAAAATAGAGAGTTTGATGTTAAAAAAAAAAAAAAAAAAAAAAAAAAAAAAAAAAAAAAGCGAGTGAGGAATGAAAGAAAAAAAAAAAAAGCGCGTCTAACACCTTTTTGTATGTAAAATATAGGTTTATAGGGGGAAGAATAACAGGTCCAGAAATTAAATATATATGACATTTAAAATTATGAATTTTTCTTTCTAATTATCTTTCTTACCACTTAAAATTATAACATTTAAAATTATGACAAGATTAGTTAGTTTTATAAATATGAAACTTGTCATCGGAATCACCGGAAAAGATATAGCAAGAAAATGTTGTTTTGCTTAGTTTTTCATAGCTAAAAATCCTTTTTTGAAAAAAAAAAATGTTTAGCAAAAACTAATTTTAAAATCATACTTTGATACGAAAAGACATGAGTTCTCATACACATACACATACACATACACATACGAGGGTTAATCGAATCCATGGGCTCGTTTCCTTTAGCAAATCCTGAATCCAACGGAATCGTCATCACAAAATCGCAAATCCAAATTCGATTGCTTCTCTAGTCGATCAAGGAAAGCGCAATCGATCGAAGTCGATAGGTGGAGGTTTTAGGGCTGCGAAAGCTTAATGATGTGATCGACATCATCGTGAGGCAATCGGCTTCGGATTGGCTCCGCCACCTGCGTGAACATCACGGCAGCTTCGAATATCTGTAAGTGTATGTTTTGGCTATGAATTATGTTGGATATGACCATAGTAATTTGCACTCGAAGTCTTGAACACTATCAATTTTTCCCCTTTCTTCCTGTTCGTATCAAATTGAGAACTGTAAGGTTGAATTTATTATAGTACTTTTAGATTACGATTAATCACCTCCTCATTCTCTTTCACTCGGTTCTTTTTTGATTCATTCATATAAATTCTCACTTTGTTATTTAGGCACACCAATCCTCATGAGAGCCAAATACGCAACAACCCGATATAACACCAGCATCAGCGCCAAAGCGACAACCGAGAGCATTTGCCCATCAAGCCCAACGCTCTTAATAGCCGGAAAATCCTCAACCAAACACGTCAAGTTACCACATTTGTAAGTCTGCCCATGCTCATATTGTGAAGCTATCAACAACTTATAAGTATGTTGGCTGATGGATATGTATTTGATCCAAGATATGAAATCAGGCACATGTTGAACATAGTATCCACCTGCTAGTGTGAATGATAACATGATCACAGATCCCATAATGGTGGCTGATTTTTGGTTCATAACTAGTGCTCCTACAGCTAGCCCTAGCCCTTGTGATGCCAATACGCTAAAAAGAAGTGTGAATAACGCATACAAAAAACTTCCAAAATCTGATTTGAGCCCAGCCATCCAGTAGGTTATGATGCAAAACAATGTTGGTAGAACTAACTCCATAGGAAGATCTCCTATTGTTCTTGATATAAAATATGATGAAAGTCTATACATTCCTGAAGATCGTTCTTTTCCTAGCATTTGCCTTTCTTGAGGGAACGTGAAAATTGCTTGAAATAAAGGAAAGAACCCCCAAAATCCAGTGTAAAAGAATAGCAATCCTGACTGCATAATTTTCGATTAAGAAACCTGTTAGATTATTATTATCATTATTATTTATAAGTTAAAAGTGATGACAAACAAGAGTGTATATTTATACCTGATCTTGTAAGTGAGCCTTATCAGATTGCCACCATAGCAAACCACAAAGGAATGACACAGCTATAACCTGAATGATCTTGAGAGTGGAAAAGAATTCATGTTTCCTTTCTTTAACACCTCTTTTGAGTAAAACCATGACTTGTTGCAACCAAGTTGTGCTCCATCGTTCATGCTTCTTGTTGTCTAAAACATCGTTCTCATCATCATTGAATTCTACGACTTCTGCTTTTAATTTCTCATCAAGATTCGACTTATAAGCCAAAACCAACTTCTGCTTCACCGCATTTTGATCCCCATAACTTGAATTATCCGGCGATATCCCTAAAATATTAACAACATTTGTAGTAACTATGCAAATTCTTTAAAAAAAAATAAAAAAAAGGTAATGTGTATGTTCAACACCAACGGTCAAGAGACAGTTACGTTCAGAACATGAACTTGCCAGGTTCTGAACCTGAACTGAAATGTCATGCCAGGTTCAGAACCTGGCAATATGCCAGTATGTTCTTTGTTGGACTCCTATCCTAGGGTTGTAATGAAACAATTTTTATACCATTTGCAAGATCTAGCAAAAAGTCGGAAGGATTCATGGCGACCGATGGCGAAAATCCAATACTGTTAAAATAATCCATAACTTCTGATCCTTTACCAAAAAACAACGAATTCCCTTCCGATAACAACAACACCTTATGAAACATGTAAAAAAGCCTACTTGAAGGTTGATGAATCGTCATAACAATTGTTCTTCCGCCTCTTGCTAATTCCCACAAAGTCAAAGCAATCCTTTGAGCAGTTGTTGAATCAAGCCCAGATGTCGGCTCATCCAAGAACAACAAACTAGGGTTTATAAGCATTTCTTGCCCGATACTAACTCTTTTTCTCTCTCCACCCGACACCCCCCTTAAATTCGGCCCACCGATGATAATATTCTTGCATCTTGTTAACCTAAGTTGGTCGATCACCGCTTCCGCATGTGTAATCTTTTCTTGAGTTGTGAGCTTTTTAGGCAAGCGGAGTAAGGCAGTGAAAACAAGGGTTCGGTGACTGTTAAATGAGGATATAGAATGTCATCTTGAGTGACAAAACCGGTGTATCGCTTCATGATACTTGAGAACGGTTTGCCATTGTAGGTGATGGTCCCGTCTAGCTTGCCACCTAGGCGGCCACCTAATGCGGTTAAAAGGGTGGTTTTTCCACATCCGGATGGCCCCAACATGGCTAAAATTTCTCCGGGCAACACCATGCCGGTTATTCCTTTGAGTATCTGTTTCTCTGTAGGCTCGTGGTTTTTCTTTTTTTGTATCCATCCTTGTTTCTTGTTTTTGATGGTGTAAACCACTTCTTTAAACTGTTCAATTCAATAATCGGAATAATAAGTTTATAACATATAAACACATTTTTTTGAAAAAGGATGAAAAATGAACCTTTAGTGTAACCGGATGATCGACTTTGTTGAAGATTGATGGAGGGGATGAGGTTTGAGCTGATGATTGAGCCTCTATATCTACCATTTGGGTTGCCATTTGAATATATTTTTTTTCCTAATGCTGCTTTACAAATAAAAAAAATGGTATATGTTGTTATTTACATACATACATACATGTGACTCGTTAATTGTATGTTGGTGTATTATATAGTAAGAGAACCGAATTAAGGTGAAATAAAAGTCATGCAATAGAGGTGTGCGGGTTTATGGCACATACCCTTGATTTGGTGTAAGAGAATAGAGATGGAGAAGGAAGTCATGCAATAGACATGTGCGTTTATGATGTGTTCCCATGTATTTGGGAGGATTTGGTGTGATAGTTTGTGTTGGGTGAAATATTTGTTTGTGTAAACATTTTTTTTTTTTTGAAAGAGAATGTTTGTTTGTATTTGATTCAGCAATGATTTTTTTTTTTAAATGACATTCAGTGTCCCGTTTTTGTTATGATCAAATGTGTAACATTTTATTTGTAACGTGTTTAACGGATTGAAATATGAATGAATATTCTGTCAAGGTAAGTTACATAAATTGGGAAAAGATAAAAACGAAATACGAATTGCATAAATTATTGGTTAACAAAGTGAAAGATTGTTGTTGTGTAAGTATTTGAAAATGGTAAACCGTGTCCATGTCACAAGACCCATCAAATTGGGTGTAAATCGTAGAACAAAATTAGCAATACTTTGCCTTTGGCATGTACAAGTTTGAATCATGGGCCTCCTTTATAGAATTTCACATATGTACTCCATTTCCCATCTCAGCTCAGGGGTAAAATTAAAATCATCTTGTCATTTTTGTGGTTTTTTAGGACTTATATTTTTATGTTCCAAGTTTTTAGGATAGTTTTGGATTTTAATGTGTTTAGGCTCTGGTTATTGATCTTCTGGATGGTGCTCAAGAAAGAGTTACTAATTCGTTGTCATTGTTAACGGTCTCATTGATGTTTCAAGCTAGTAAAGTTCTTTGCTAACTCTGGTGATTAGTCATTGTTCATTTCTATTCTTGGCATGTTGTTTTTTGTTTCGATTTCATTGGTATAAATTTCAAGCTAGTGAGGAAGGAGATCGTTGACTTCCGTGGTGTATACCATGAAAGACCATAGCCACCAGCTTCTCTTCCTCTCTCTTTCTCTCATTTCGTTGCAAAGTACACCCACCAATGGTGTGGAAGGAGACAACGGTGTGGCGGAACTATTTGGCGTGTCCCCAATACCCGATGGCCTAATAGAAGCTACTTAGAGGTTGCTTGATAGTTGTTAATTAGATTAGAGCTAATTGAGTTAGAAGCCGATTAGGTTAGAAGTAATGAGTTAACTTCTGATTGAAACTTGATGTTTGGTTATGCATTTAACTGATAGTGCAAAATGACTATATTATCTTTAGACAACATTTTTTTTATAATAATTTCTTTATGATTTACCATTTAACTTATAACATTATAAAAAAAAAAAAATACAAAGTTATTGGCTTGATATAAAAACATTCTCGATTAGCCACACCCATTATCCTCTTCCTCTTGCAACCATTGCCACCTTCTTTGAAGGTTAACAACTATGCAACATACAACCGTTAGTACCTAAATTAAACCAAAATCAATCCCAATCTATGCATCAACCCACTGATATTAACAACTAAACTATGTGTATCAGTTAACAACCAAACTATGTTGTATCAGTTAATAGTCAATTGGGAAATCACAATTGTACATGTGAATGATTCATAGATTGGAAACTTTCATTAATTAATGTTAATAGACTAATTAAAAGCTAAGAAGATTATGGAGAAGATTGGAGTGAGAATTGATTGACCTTTAGGTAGACTTGGTAGTCATATGTTCAGTGTTATCTCTTTTGTACGCATGTATATTTGTTTAAATAATAAACCAAGCAAATATTTTTTTTTAATGGTTGGTTAGTGGTTAGAAGTTAGATTCATTAAGATTATATTATTTGTTATGTTAAACCCAACAATTAAACTTATCAATCTAGAACTCAAACTTTAGTCATTTAAGCTTAGCGAACTCCAAGGCACTTTAAAGTCCAAATTCAAAGAGTATCTGCCATTCAAGCATTAATGCTTATGAAATCATATGAGAATTTTCAAAATATGATTCATTTCAAAAAAGGCAATAGAAAATAGTTAATTGAGTGAAAACAGAAGGATAAGAAGAAATCAATAGAATCAGAACAAATTGACAAGCAGTCAATAGCAATCAACAATGTTGAAATCGATTTTGATTTTGCGAAATTGACTCATTCGATAGCCAACATCTTGTTAAAAAAAAAAAAAAAAAAAAAGAACTCACCGACGGCGCAGAGGAGGAATCCGACAGCATCGTCAGTGTCACCGAAACAACGAACATGGTGCGTAAGTGATGGTGGTTGGTCTCGTTTCGACGTTCATTTAAGGAAGAAGGATGGAGTGTAAATGTTATTTGGGTAATAAAGGGTGTTGGTGGCTAAGGAAGAAGATGGTTGTGATGTTGATTTGTCGTCAAAGGGAAAAATGATCAGATGATGGAAATGATCCAGTCTGGCCCTTTTTTCCTTGGACCGAGTATGAGACGTGGCAGAGGCTATGTTGATGTCATGAAACACACAAGAATGAGACCGTGTCAGCAAAAACTTCTTACTGGATTATGACAGAATTAGAAGGCAATCAAACAACCCTTAACCAAACATCACTGATCATACAAAATTGTTGGAATTGTTTTATATCAACATTTTAGTTTACTATATCAAATATTATTTATAGCTCATGAGAATGATAAATTTATTTTCAACAACATACATAATAAAAAATTAATATTTTCTTTCACTTCAATTTTAGTCTAAGAACATTGAAAAAGTTATATGTGGTTTGCTATTCTACTTGGAGTTTAAGAAGTTTTGAAATAGAAAATGCCTTTTTTGAGAACGTTTTATTATAGTTTGGTCTCATAACTTAAACCGTTAGTGTTATTATGTTGATGACTCTTTTACTTTTATTCTGTATTTCTTTTATGTAATTGAGTGAGCTCAATTTTTGTCCCACCTTTTTCAAGAACATCCCCAAATCTAAGGTGCCAAATCGGACGAATTTATTGTGTTTTTAGCTGACACGACAAGATAAGTTTTATATAATACAAACACAGCATGACATGACATCGTGTTTTGCTTTACTGACAATAAAACGACCCAACTAAAACATGATAAATACAATCAACACGAAAAACACTAATATATATATATATATATATATATATATATATATATATATATATATATATATATATATATATATATATATATAGTTTATTTAAGCCCGCTTTCGACGGGGTTTGAAAGGATGATAGAAGGGAAAAGATCACATCGAAAAAGTCGGAATCCGAGTATGATTGCAATTGCTACAGTAGATCCATTTTGAAAGGTCAGTATAGTAAGAAATTATACATAATTAATCATATAAAACACGATAAACACAAAAAAAAAACACAACAAACACATGTTAATATCACGTCGAATTTTGAACACAAACACAACACTACACGATGTTGCATTTTTATACATGACATGAACTTAATTCCAAATTTAATTTCGTCCTAATTTTGTTTTGTGTCGTGCCATGGATAGCCATTTGATCTATCAACCTACTTCCTCAAACACGTCACCAACACCACTCCCCTTCCCCTCCTCCATAGTTAGTCATCAACACCCCACCTTTTCTGCATTGTAAATATCGACAACACAATCACCTAATGTCTCCCATTCCCTGATGAATCCTCCTTCACCCCTGATCTTCTTTGCCAACTAGGCCCCTTTGTATTCATCGAATTGCCTATGTTGTCATCGATGGTTATATGGTTCATATAAAATCTATAAAATATTTGTAGGTTTCTCTTTAGAAAAATAAAAGCGAACCATGAAATGGAGAGATATGAGAGAACATAGAACATATAGGGGTTGTTTGTTTTTTCGCTGTAGATTTGCGCAATCACTTTTCTATGCGCCTGGCAGATCAAGTGTAGATAGATATCCACGCAGTGTGTTTGTTTTTACGAAGTGTGCAGATCGAAAAACGTTTGCATGAGGTTTTCGCCACACTGACATTGGCCAACCTCTTCTAAGATCTGCATAAGTGCTTTTAACCTAAAAAAACACGATTTTTGTTTTCTTTTCTCTTTCACGCCTCCATTCTTCCGATAATTCCCACCCTTGACGCCTACCACCCATAAAGCCTCCCCTGCTTCCCTCCACCATTGTCTTCATCATTCTTCATCTCCAATCAAAATCGCTACCCTCCTCTCCGATGACAGACGACCTCATCACCTGTCTTCAACTCCCTCATCTCCAAACAGGTATGCACCTCCTTTTTTTTTTTTTTTTTTTTCAGTTGTAACATGAAAATGATGTTTATTCTTGCTGGAAAACTCTTTAATGTACTAAAACATGATGTTTAATTTTTCTAAAATTGTTTTTTGTTGCTTATAGTTGTTGAATGTTGGAAATCCGAAAATATTGTTGAAAATAACCTTTCATGCTTAACATTCTTCTTAAATGTTGCTGAAAATCAATATTTCATGATGTATTTGTTGTAATTCCATAACATTTGTTAAACCAAGCTTTTTTCTTAATGAAAATATGAAAATAGTGTTGAAAATATGAAAATTGTGTTGGAAAAGTCATTATGTGTTTTTTTTTCTTTTTTTTTTTTGAAATTCAATTTATTTCAGCAGTATGCAGACATTAAAAAACAAACAGACTTCTTATTGCAGACTGCAGACGTTTGGTCCATCTATTCTGTTGCAGAAACTTGCAGATATGGCCCGCAGTATAGATATTTTGGCTTTAGAAAAACAAACATCATCATAATGAGGGAAAGGGAGGGGTCAACCTCATCGCCGGAGGTATTGAATTAACAATAACAATAGAGAGCAAAATGGTTGTGACACGAGAATACGATGGTTACATGGGCGGGGAGTGGGACGAATGGAATAGAAGACGGGGGAGCATAATGGTTAGGGAAGAGATATGTAACGACCCGTTCCCGGTATGTTGATTTATTGGCAATTGTAGTGAGTTTTCCTAGAGGGACTCGGCAAGTTCTAGCCTGACTCGCCGAGTTGGGTCGCATATTCTGTGCACGCGGGAGCCGGGGACTCAGCGAGTCCATATCCCGGACTCGACGAGTCCGTCCGTCTAGGTGAAACCCTAAATCCCCGGGTTTGCCCACTATTTAAACCACATTATAGCCTCATTCTCGCCTCCCTCACCCTGAGAACACAGTGTTAGAGCCCCAAACCTCCATTGAAGAGCTTATATGTGTTTTGGTGCCATTTTGTGAAGGTTTGAA